TTGGTATTATTATTGTTGTAATTTTCAATAAACGATGCTGCGTGAAGGAAGTAATACGACGTTAAGGTTGATAAAAGTTAGCTATTGAACGGAATTCGAATATACAGCTATATTGGCTCACCCAAAAAACTAAATGTGTGTAGGTAACTACTCCGTTTTTCAAACTTATATTAATTTATAGTACTCATCCAACGCCTATTATGACCTTATGATGTTTTAAATAATATAAAAATATTAAAAATAAGACGAGGACAATTTATGTGTATACCGTATACGGCATACAGCACTATCTTCGGTATTAATCTAACTGGAAATTGTTTTAATTATATTTTAATAATTAGCTTGTTTTGATTGTTAGTAGGGCTAGAATTTAAATGCAATAAAAAATTGTGAAAAACGCCGAAATATGCAAAACCAATTTTTTTTATTTCTACATAACATTTAATATTTTTTACATAAAAAAGGAACTAATTGAACAGAACCTATACCAACTATTCAATAATTATTTATTATTTTTATAGAACTATAATTTACTATAAGTAATTTATTATTATTACATTGAATATTGTTTTTATGATATATTATTGAGGTTCTTTAAAGTTTTGAAACACGAATGAACATCCATTGGGAGTTGGGGCGATATATGGATTCATATTGGCTAAAATTTATCGTACTAATGAAAAAATAAAAGCAAAACTAATGTATGTGTAGGTAATTCTATTGATCGTCTGACCAAGTTAAGATTAGATATAGTAAATTTAAGACAATTCGACAAATGACCCAATAATTATAGATACCATATCATAAATACCATTTATCAATTGATAACATGTTCAAAAATCGAATTAAGCAATTATATAAATTATGCTCAAAATATGCAAACAAAAAATGTTACTATTGAATCGAGAATAATTCAAATCTTGGACATATCTGACAACCAATCAATTTGGACTCAAGAAAAAATACATATACAAGTACCTAACTTATTAATTAGTAATTACTAATTACATATTTAACTAAAATAACTTATTAGATAATTTACCGATGTTTATCATAGACACATTTTTTTGGTAAAAAGAGTGCTTGAAAAAAACATGATTACTTAAATATTCTAAAGACTTCAAATTCAAAGTTTGAAAACAATGCCTAATCTTATAAATCTTGTAAAATGTCAAAATATGTAAGCAAGTACTCTTTTTTAGTAAAATATCCAATCTTTTTGTTAAATTATTAGTTTTATGCAATTATCATAACGTTGACTTATTTTATTTTGGTTTAAATGTATTTTAAACTGAAAAAAAGAAGACTAAGGAGGATTAGTAATGTGTATCTGTTTTTGCATAATATCTCTCCCGTATTATTATGCAACCAGGCTCATCACTATGCAGCGCTTACCTATATCCTGCAATATCTGTATTTTTTAAAAATTATTTGAACATTATAATATTATATAGATGTAGTTTCTAAGTAGGTAATACATGTTTGGTTATTGTTGTAATAAAATAAAATAAAATGGTATCAATACTTAAAAGTGATTCATACTTTCCTTCTGGCCATGTCTCAATCATCAATATAATAATAATATTGAGAGCATAATTTATTTTAACAAGGTCTGATTTGTGAATAATTTAAAAAAAAATCACGATACTGTACTACAAGTTAGTAGTTACAACTATATTATAACATTATATTTTTATAATTATACACTTTCGTCATGATATTACATTATACAGTATGTCTAAAAAGTAAAAAATCTCAAACCTTAAATTTGAAGTGGTGATCACATAGGTACATACAATATGGGATTTTTGAAGGTCTAGTGTGTAATATTCATTCTTTGAACTTCTACATAGGTATTCTATATAATTGTTGCATGTCTATGTTATCATAATGCCATGAAAATTTCCCAAAACATTTTATGGTTTTTAAACTGTCTACATACTGTATGGCTGTATAGACGTATTATACATAATTATGATTAATTATTTTTCAAAGATCTAATTTGGAATCTCTATATAGTTGCAAAATATTGCACTGTTGTAGTCTGTAATTTGATCAGTAATATTATAATATTATTTCAGGTTTTAGTAAACACAAAATAGTTGATGAAGTACAAATCAATTAAGCCATTTATGTGCATTATTAAAATACTCTTTAAAAAAAAAAAAAACTGTTACTCCGTTAAAAATAGATTAATACGAAGTTTACTTGGTACCCAATACAACTAATTCAACTATTGTCTATTTATTATCATTTATTTTTATTGTATATAATTCTGGCATTCAGTGAAGAGGACCTAATACTTAGGACCAATATTTGCGATTGTAAGTACGCTGTACACTTATTGACAACCTAAGCTAAAATGATATTTTAGTAGCTATATATACTTCATTAAAAAGCTGACCTATTCCATACAGTAGTATCTCTGCTCACTTTTATATTAAATGAAAATGGCGTCTTAATTTGAACGTGAATTTTACCGCATTTGGAAGACAAATCTGAGTGCAGCTCAGTTCATCCAAAAAAAAAAAAAAACCAAGGTTTTCGAAACTGTGCATATCCCCCCGGCACCATTCACTACATAGTACAATCGCCAATACGACACTGGATAACAAAATTGTATTATACGAACACCAATATAATTATAATATTATAAACATGGTATAATTGCACAGTGGCAACTAGCTCCTGCAACGTGGGTACTCGTCGCGCGGGTGTGCGCTTGCACCCATATATAATAAAGTTGAGTTGTTTGCCTGCTCTATACATTAAAAAAAAAAAAATACCAAAACTCGTTATTCGCTGCCGGCGAACGGACCTACAAAGGATTTTATACTTCTATATAGGATCGGATCACGATTATTGGACGCGTACTGCGATAACCAAGTGACCGAGTGGGTAGGTAACTACTAACTAATAACTATGTATTATATCATATTATACTGTGTTTCTACCTATTAAAATACCTAGTGCTATATTAGTATATTACTATATTAGTATTCTAGATTCAGTCGTTATACGCGCGTCAATATATTATTATTGTATCTATAATAACAATTATTAAGCGTTATTAATGTCTCCGGGTACGCATTATAATGTTTTTTAAGGGAATCCTCTGACATTCGAATATTTTAATAACTAATATGTAAATTGCGTATTAAATTATTACACCTATAGTCTGCTATACCGACGAGAAACCGCAACGACATGTTATTGGTGTATAAGTGTTCCTATAGTGTAGAGAATTAAAATCGAATCTACTACCAATACATATAGTAAAAAATAATATTATTACGTATTTTATAAACTAAGTATCTGCATATTATTATATTATTAAACGGAGATAAAAAAATCAGTAACACCATTATTGTTAGTTTTTACGTTTATTTGTTCTGTTCGTGCGTTTCGTTTTAATAATTCTCCATTGTCGTACGTTGTAGTGTTGTACGTACCCCAGTATATATTTGGTACCTGTGTCCTATATACATAATATATACATTAAATAGTAAATACTAATACACATAGTGAAGCGACAAGCGTAGACACCGTCTTTGTTAACTCTGCAGCATCACAATAAGGACCCGCGGGCAAATGTACTATCGCACGCGTCGACGTAGGCGTACGCCGAAAAGAAGAGGTAAAAATACATATAGTTAGATACAATTTGTTTCATAAAACGTTCAAATGTACACTTTGAAGAGTACAATAATATAATGTGCTTCATCATTCGTACACATTCGTAAATATTATATTCCGCCGAGTTCATTATTATAATGCGTTCACGTGAGATTTTATTTCTTCAACTCATGTTTATAACGCGCCAACGTTTTTCGTCACAATAATAATTATGAACATGTGATAAAATATTCATATTTGAACAAATACTCAAATGGCATACTCAAATGGTTCACCGTACGATTTGTGGCTGGAATATCGTTTTAGTTCCCATCTACGTCAGTGATTTGTGATTATAATAATTGTAGATTAAAACAGAAACGGTTTCGTAATTATTGTTTAGTGTCAATATCGTAATAGTAGGTAATAGGTACGCATATTATTTGCACACTGTATTACATTATAAAGAAGTGGGTACCTACGGGTGTCATTTATTATTATACATAAATATTATTAACACGCATCAAGTGCCGTAATCGTGCCATAATAAATTATAATGTTTGACTAAAATACATTAAGTATCGAGCAACCGATTTATAGCTTCATTTTATGCTTAGTAGGCACATCTACACACAATATTTTATTGTGATGTTAAGGTCAGTGGCGGCCCAGGATTTATTTTGTGGTGGGCGCTATGTTGGTACTTGATGATAAAACTCCACAAGTAATTATCACGAACAACTTCGGAGGTAAAAACGAATTTAATCTGTTTTTGGTACAGTAGCCTACAATCAATACTAGTTCTACGTGCAATACCCGATATCAAGGTAGTTTATAAAAAAAAAGTTCAAAATGTGGGATGGTGCCCCGCTCCCCTAAATCCGCCGCCGATTAAGGTATGACGAGTCATCGTATTTAAGCCTGTACAAAAATCGATTGTAACTGTTGCAAAGACAACTATGACACATCTATATTGTGCATTTAAAGTGCACAGCCGCATAGGGTTCGTCCGAAATCGGATGAAAAAAAAAACACGTAAGAACAATAATATAATACATGGATTTTACCCACTGCAGTGCCCACAATAATAATATGATCATAGTAGTAGTGTATACAGTATACGGGAGATAATCGTCAGATCAGTGGACCCGACGGAGGTATATTATAATTTATAAGACGCGTATAATAAATATAAACGATCGACCGAGAGATTGTGCGACCGCCGTTCGTCGTTCGTGCCGAATCCCATCGATAATTATTATTATTTCGGTGTGCGGATTTTCGGCCACAAACGGATTCCCACCACAATGATAATGACAATAATAACAACAACAGTCGTTTCGTTTAGAGGCGCACCTGATAAATGTGGGCGGGTACCACGCGGCGGCTCTCGGCCCGCGCGTATCCGACGAAAATCATTCCTTCGCCGTTCGATCGCCCGCGAACAGCGACACCGTGTAAATATTGTCTGACGGTTATAATAATATATCATAACTACTATATACGTGCCAATAACATATTGTTGTTATCCCGTCATGGATGTGTCTATTGGGACCGACGACGGTCTAACACCTCGGCGTAATCGTTCGTGTAATTAAATACAATAATAATAGATCTTATTGTGCGATGGGAGTTCGATTTTTTAGATTTTGAAGAATTTGTTTTTTAATGGTGTTTGATGTCCGCTTGTCGTTCACGCAAAAAAGCCCATCATATACGATTTTACTGAATAGACACAAGTGTTGAGACTGCGGTGCAGCCGGCGGAAACGCGTGGTGTGTACCTAACATGATAAATGGAGAACGGATCTCATTCTACTTTCAAACTAAACATAATCTCCCGTGAGTATAGCAGTATAGTTTATAACGATGCCTATTACTTATATACACGTAGTTAAACTATGATAAATTCGCAATTCACCTGGAGCTTATTTTTATTGCTTAAAAACTAAACAAATAAAATAACGTGTTTGCCCTCGAAAATAAAAACAATCTTCATAAAACCATCCATAAAACAAACGATTTAATTTAACTCTGTTTATATTGAAACACGCATGATTGCTCGAATACAATGAACAATATCATTCTCAATATTATTAAAAACGTATCTCTGTGTTTTACAGTTTTGTACATTGTATACTTCAAGTATGTAATACAATACTACACATATAATATATATAATAATATGGTTCTATGCTCGTCATTTGTCAAATACAAAAACCGAAAAAATAATGTTTAGAATAATACATACAAATTACATACAGTTATACAGATACTGAGAAACCGGGTTTTTATTATAGATAATACTTATAAGTTATAATAATATAATGTAAGCATTATAACTTATAAGTATTATCTATAATAATCTTAAATAATAGGTATAACAACTATAAGAAATTTAAACATTATCATCTAGGCATCTTTGTAAATTACTGAACAAATAAATTATTTGATATTTGATATACTAGTATAAGATGCTTCATAGCTCATCTAATACATATTATTTATTAAGTATAATATTTTCAATTTTATACAGTATAGAAATCGGTTAAATTTGAAATTTGAGGGAACACACGATAATTACATTATTGTTATTGAAATTTAAATAGGGACTTCATTAAAAAAAACATAATTTAACATTTCTGTACTTATTATATAATATTATGGGTAGGTATATCGTATATATAATAAACTATAATGGTATGGAATACACGTTAGTATACATTTCACATTACGATTAAAATAATATTTATAATTTTATATATATTCATATTTACAGTTGAAAAATTAAAATGCTATGTATTTTTATTGCATAGGTACCTTAATATTTTTCTGATTCTTATATAATATTATGACCATTATTGCTAAAATCATCAGACTGCAAAACGCAATGCCTTGTATATTAATATTTAGTATAATATTTAATATATAAATTATAAATCATGTTAAAAATTGTTCATTTATCAATGTATTCGATTTTTCATTAGAACTTTATTTACAGTAGACATATATGCGTAAACCATAGGCGTTTTTCTGGGAACATTAACCGATATTTCATTTTGACAAAAGTCAAGGTAATAGTGATTTCAACTGTATTTGTTATTTATTAATATAAGCGTTTCAAAATGGTATCTTATAACTTATTACATCAATTATTCTAAGGAGTCAAACATTAGATTATTTTATTTTTATATCTGTTTGTAATGGCATATTTGATGTTTATAGCTACAGTATATTATCGTTAACAGTAATGTGTATATAATAAAATGTCATATTTTAAATTATTCAAGTTTATAAGTTCAAACTTCAAATAATACATCTCTCGTAAATGTTAGCGCTTTGATATATTTTAATAACGACATCATAGCTATTATCCGCAATCGTTGTAGTGTGTACAATAATGATCTATGTGCTATAACTATACGTATATATGTCTTACTACCTATATATAGTTTATATTATATACATACGACATACGTAGGTAATCTAATTTAAAACCTCGTCGTAGGTGTATAATTATTATTAAACCACAATGATTTATAAATGTATGTTATTATACCTACTAACATAAACTCGCGGATAATAATTTAATAATAATATGATATATTTAATATTTATATAATTTCATATTTCATTATTTATACTATTTTCAACTATCAACATAATATTATAATATTAACAAACAGAATATGATCTATGGCGTGCAGCAGTCACGTATAATAGTTTTTCAATATACTGATAACCGGTAAAGAGTTAATTTGAATCGCAATTTCACCATATTAATATTATATATAATATATATATATAGGTATGTAATATATTATGTCGTTCAGGAGGTAATTATTAAAAACGCGGGGTAGCTGACAACGTGTATTATGACGGCGGCGGCAGCGGGAAAACACTACGGCTATTATATTTTAGGTGCGTTTACACCAATAAAACGTGTATTTATTCACATCTGAGGTCAAGTCGAAGGCCATGCGTTTTGAGGCAATACGCGTATAGTTTCAAGTCAATGTAGAATAATGTGTATACAATAAATAATATAATTTAGACACTGCGGAATTTCGTTAGCAATAAAGACCCCATCGTAGACACGTAAACGGTGTACCTAACTATTATAATATCGGGCCGGGTCGTGTGTTTACTGGCTGTTCGTGATCTGCCGACCGACACGCAACTTACCGAGGCCGGGCGGCCACCAACCCTAATTATCATTAGTGTGTTATATTTATTTATTTAATTTTTAGTGAAACGGACAGTAGAAAACAATCGGCGGCATTTGTTTTACTGGAGAATGCGCGTCTACTGCCGGAATTCAAATAATCCGGCTTCGGCTTATTACGTGTAGAGGTGTACTTTCTAGTATTTGCGCGAGACGTTTAGGTACTACTATAAATAACACCTATAAAATAAATATCTATATGTTCCGATTTAGCTACATTATATATATTTATAATAATATACAATTATTCTATTATGTACTATTATCATACCTACGAAGAAACCGAACGTGGTGCGTAAGGAAAGAAGTTGAATAAATTTATGAAAATTGTAAGCGTACCTATACATAACATTTTATAAGCAGTAAGTTTGAACGAATGGACACGTCATTATCGAAACACCAACAACAGTTAAACTCATAAGTTATATCATTCTGCTAGTATAATTGTAGTATGTACATAATTTGAAAGCGATTATGGTTATACTATATTGCTGAAAATTCTATACAAAAAATGTCCATGGTAAAAATATCCGGATCAAGAATATTCACTGTAAAATTATTCAAAATTAAAAGTTTTGTGGTAAATTCTAAAATTCAGTATCAAAAATGTCCAAAATCAAAAAAAAATAAGAGTATTATAAAATAGAATTAAAGAAAAAATAGGTAATTTATTAATTTATATTAATTAGTGAAATTAGGTCAAAGAGAAATTGGACATCATCCAGCAAAAAAAAATAAAATATATATGTTGATTTGAAAGAAAAATTTAAAAAAATTATGCCTGATGTATAAAGATAATGAAAGGAGTATGGACATTTTTTAAAAATGTTTATCATTGACCTTAATACATTTTAAGAAAGTAATATGTGTTTATGTGTTAATTAATGGATATTTTTATTTTTTGAAAATCAAAAAATGTTTTCTAAATATTATAATAAAGTTAGTAGGTAAAGATTATTTTTAATAATATTAACAGCCATAAAAATGAATGAATGAATTATATCAATTTTCTGGCTTAAAAAAAAATAATTTGTTCATTTTTTAAAATATAAATCAGAGTTGTAAATACATTTTTAGTTAATCATCTATTTCATCTATATAATTATTATATTTTTGATTCTAAACAACTTTGCCAATGACAGTTTATTTTGGATAATGAAACCACGGACATTTTTTATGTTGGAGAATCTTACCTCAGAAATATTTTATGTGGACATTTTTACCTAGATTGCTTACGTATATGTTGCAAAACATGAGTACCTAAAAAGACTGAATCTTATAGACCTACTTCGGCGTAGGATACCCTGGATACCTACATAAAGCGTATATACATTGATATAGCGTATTACGAAATACTGAAACAGATATAAATCGACACATTCGAAAACAGTTCAGGCACGGTTTACTAAAATATGTTATAAGTACTTACTACTCAGTTACCTATCATATCTAATTGTGTATAGTTGTAACTTGTAAGTAAACATAATAAATTAGATAATATTTTCAAAGTTGTTTGTACAAATATGATGTGCATATTGCGTATGTTAAGAGCATCTATAGTACCTATATGTATTGTACTTAAATTCCAGTATTAAAATCTATAATAATTCTTCTTATTAAGATAAATTATGTAATACCTAGGTATACAATTATAAAGTATTAAAGTATCATTTGTTTTTTCTTACGAAAGGACCAGAATTTAAAACTTAAAAAAAACTTATTTTAAAACTTTTAAGACTTTTCAACTTTCTTTTAATTTAAAACTTTTTTGAACTATTTAAAGTATCAAGTATAGGTACCTTCGGAGTTCAGCATCAAATTTCAAAACTAATAGTTATCTAGTGATTTTTGAATAAAAGTGATTTTTTATTTTTTTTTTATTTAATTTTAATACGTTAGAAAACATAATGAAACTAATTTTATTATTATATTATTATAATAGAAATAGTTTAGTGTTTTTATATTATATTAGCTTAGTAAAAAATAATGGGTAGGTATTTACTCCGAGATAGCTCTAATGGCATTTTTACATAGATGCGGTATAAGTATTACCACTTAGTTACCAAAAATAATTGAACGTTGTTCATGAGATGGAAAGAAAAATTATAAATAGTAATAAAGTAAATAACTAAATATGTCAATATATACTTCAAATTTGTTGCACTACGTTTATTGATTCGATAAGTTATAAATATATATTAAATACTAAATACTAATTGGGTCACTAAATCAATTTATCGGATTAATAAAAATTAAAAGGAGTTTCACAAAATTAATTAATTTTATTGGTACAATAAATTGTTTGTTACCACGCACTATTGAGACAATATAATTAATAAACAGGACCAATTTCAAGTCAATAAGTGTTTAATGTTTATTAGTTCAATAAGTTTATCCCACGCAGTTATATATGAGGGCGTGTAAAAAAATGTTATAAGTGAAACATATAAATAACTATTTTTTTAAGTTTGTAACTCAAAATTGAACTCTACCAATGGGTAAAGATAAACTATTATTATAACTATAAGTTTTATACAAAATTAAATTAATACTATGTATATTTTGTATTAACTACTTGCTGATATATTTTTCAATAAATAACTGTTATATATACTAATATTATATTATTCCAAACTTTTAAATTTGAATTTTTCAACTAATAAGTGATAAAAAATGGAAGATCTTCTAGATGGGTACAAAAGGTGACTTGGAAATAATTAGATTTAAAAAGTATTGGATGCTCTATCCATCTGTATGTTTATCTATTTGTACTATATACGTACATGTATAATCGCTTTCGTTTCCAACTTGCCAACTTAACTTTTGACTAGGATAACTAAACTTATCAAACTAACTAATAATTTTTAGTTTATGGAGGACAATCATTTTTAGAATCACTGTTAATGTTACAATAAAACAGTGAGTTTAACCTTTCAAATACAATGGTGATAATATGCTCGTTTCTATTTGTCACCCAGCAATGTTTGAAACTATTTTGTTTGAATAATTATCACCGAGAATTTTATTTAAACTAGGTATCTAAAAAGATTAACTAATTTTAATAATAAATAATATATCCCTTATTAGTTTACAATAATATCGCTTTCGTATAATATGAAGAAATTAGCATTTATAGTAATATTATATTAACTTGTTTTTAATAATATAATATAGAATCAAAAAATCAAAACAGTCGAAGACCATTGACTCTGTTTTCTTTCATTACGGCCACAGCCAGAGATGGTTCCCAAGTTACGGAAAAACGTCTACAAGACGTTTCCGAAGTATTAAAAGACAATTTGACTAAAGGGACTGCTTTGAAATGCAAGGAAAAAAATGGTCAGTATATTATGAAATGTATATACTATAATTTTAGTATTATAAATTATAATATATTAATGTACTATGTATTAATAGTATGTAATATGTATGTAATACTAATGGTTTTAATATTTTGAAATGGAACTAACCTACATGTTTTATAAACATTTTGTTTTGTTTTCAGTTGTTTATCCCATCATTCATTTTACCGAGGATCGAAATACGTTGATGTCAGTGTTACAAGATCAGAACGAAGTAAATGAACATTTCAAATTACATCAAGGTGAGAGCAGTCGTCAATATAAAAATTAACGCTAATAAATTCTAAAATAAAAAAATATACAAATTATGTTACCTTTATAGTTTATATTAAAATATATATAATTAACAGAAATAAGTTTATAGTATATATTATAATAATATATAATAGAAAACTAAATTAGCCACGTCAAATTGATTTAAGTGATTTGTTATTAATAAAATATAAATTTTTGGGTGGGACCCACCTGTTCACCAATAAATTAACATTAACGATGTTAGTACTTATACATTTCAATTAGTTTAATCTACTTCATTAAACTGATTTATTAGTGCGTTATAAATAAATGCATGACATAATTAAATTTTGTTTACGGCAATGTAACTATGTTACAATGGTATTCTACAGTGATGTGTTAAATGTATAGGTACTTATATATGGTACTTTACCATTTAAATATTATATATATTTATATATGAACACATTTTGTGATTTTGAGGAGTTTAACCTAATTCCCTCAATAATTCACTTAAACTTTTAATAAATTAGGAAAATAGTTATTCAAAATGAATAGGTTCAAAATTTCAAATGAAAGTTCAAACTTGGCCGATAGTTAAATCAAATATATTTACCTCTAAAATCAGTGTGTATAGTGTACATATATATATAGTAATAATAGTGAGAAAAAACAATAAGTCAAAATCACTAACCTTCGGGAAACCAATAAAAGTCTCATTTCTGAATTTATTTTTCGTTTTTACAGTTAATTTAATACAATGTTTGTATAAAAATAAATCAAATATTTTGGTAAATTAAATTATAAAGAACATTTTTTTCTACAAGAAATGAAATCGAAAAATGGTCAAATTTATATTATTTTGTTCGCGTCGAGCACCGTCGTATATAATAATATTAATGTACTATATTTGAATAGGTATTATCGTTTTTAAATGAAGATTAGGTACTTTTTGAACTTATGAGTCGTTTTGTATCGTCAGTCACATTTAATGTTTATATAATATCTGTATGTGTCCAGTCGATTTCGACTAACGTAGGTATTGTTGTATAGTTTATTTTATCTTAACAAGCATACATCTTTAAATCTCCGGTGCATAGGAACGTATTCAGTATTCATGCATTCTCACGGTCTTGTCATTTTTATTCCATGTGCCGTTTGTACGATAAAAAAAATGTAAATATAAACTCTCGAGGCAAGTCAATTATACAGCCTGCATATATTTATTTTTATTACACAAAGTGAGTACCCGCCACCACAACCTTATCTTAGAAGAGTTGTTTTTACATCGACAATTTTCACACAAAGTATATTAATTATAAACCTCGCTACGGCATTCTATCGGCGGACGCGCGTTTCGGTGAATTACAATGATTACACTCGATAGAAATAATTACTAATTAATAAAACATTTAAAATACCGTGTATATTATAGGCGTTTATCGAGAAATCAAAAGTATCGAGTGCGAGGATGGAAACGGACCGTTCGTAACGACTTCAAACAGCATCTCTTACATAGTATCTGGATTCAAACTTCTGGACACCAGTCTAGTGGAGGTAAACATTGCAATGCACATATTGTATTTAATAGTACGTTGTAGGTAGATAGTTAATAATGAAATATGTATAAAAACTGGACAATGACTATCGGAACACTTTTTTATTGCGTACATCCATCATGTATTGCATCTACATTACCGCTTAAATTGCTTAGATGATTTGTTCGAAAATCAATGCCAAACTGTATACAAAAGACGTGTAGAATATTTCAGTCATCCGATATCCATTATGGTAATCATTAAAACAATATTATAATTTTTTTTTTGAAATAGACGCGTGGTCCTTAAACATCATAGACATTTTACAATAACATTACAGCGATACTGTATCTATGCAGTTTCGTTGTAACATTATTGTAGATACCTATAAACATTTGATTCATTTTTATTTTACGGCAGGGGGGTGCTATTTAGGGAGGGAGCGATCAGGACATCTCTGAATTGTTCACTTATTAAATGGCCCTGAGACAAAATCTAATTTTTTTCTAACACTTCTTTGTTATATACGCAATCATGTCGTTATAATAACATTAAACATTTTTGTACAGGATTTAATATAATAATATCGTCATTCTTGACTGAGAAACAAATATTTGTAATACTAGGAGATGTTACCAAATAGACTTTATACAGTGTATATAGCGTTCTTAGCTGCACAAAACATTATTTAATGGGTCAAAGAAGAAGAAAAATCGACCTGCCTAAAATTTAGCACAATTTTAACAAGGAATGACGTCCCTTTGCACGATGTTGTATACAGAAATTTGATTGGTTTTAAGTGGAAACGTTTTTATTATATTTTGTGCTATACTGCAGTAGTTATTCAGCAATTGGTTATTTTATTTTTTGTTGTACTATTGGCTGCAGTTGGGTTTGGTCTTTATTGAAGGTACTTTAATACTCGTACAATAATTAACCAATTTCTATTTCATAATAATATATGTCATAGTATCATACATAGATATAATAGAGAAATTTCTTATTAATCAAATGTTACATTAAATATTAATTACAGTTCATTATGATTGTATTGTATGTTTAGGTAATGATTGAATCGTGGAAGGATTGGACAGGCGCTAGACATATATATCTCCACATTCCGTACGATCTGGGTCTCCAGAGGATTTCGCTTTTAAAAAAAGTGGCTCCTAGTTCTTTGAACTCTTTTACATACGTCGTACTCGCTGAATGTCTGAATGTGAACACAGAAGAAAAAAAGGTAAATTAATTTAATTATCAATTATTTGGAACATGCATTTATTTTTTGTTTTTAATTTCTAGATGTTACTTTTGGATTTTGTTCAAAGGATGAGAATAGAAAAATTTCTCTCCGGTTACCTATCCGTTTACGAGCTTCATAAAACTTAATCAACGTCAATACTATAACATTACTGCGCAAATATACGAAACGCTTATATAAAACTCGAATGACCATGACGTGTAACTTATTAGTGTTAATTATTGTTTAAACTTAAGTTAATGTTATTTTTTATGTTTTTTGAAATGTTTGTTGATTCTTAATACATTTTTTTTTTACAATTAGTAGTTTAATTATTAATTTTATTTACTCGTAACAATGATTACCAAACAAATAAACTGTTTTATTTTAGAAACTCTAGTTTATTTATGTATATATATATACCAGCTAACTATATATTAATATACTCTCGAGATTGTTAACAGACGATATTAATAACATTGTGATTTGTGTGCATTAGACGAGACTCATGACGTATTTACTGTTTTGTTGTTGTAACTAGGTAACATACCTAGTACTGATATCTAACGATAAAACACATTATAATCTTATAGTGGCCAAGGAGCATATTCTTGAATGAAACCCATGTATGAAAAATATTTAAATATATACATTATTCGTATACAGATATCGTTCGTTGATAGATCCTAGTTCCTTTGCTATACATTTATACGTGTAGTTAAACTTTTTTTTTTTGTTAAAAATGGTAAGTACATAACTTTTTTGTGAATACATTTTCATTCTTATTTTATTGTGTTTATCTTTAATTTATTCATTTTAAGGCACCAAAAAAGAAATCTAAAGGAAGCAAAGGCGGCCGTACGAGTGCCGGGATTGTGGATGGCGTTTCTATGGCTGAGATGTCCAGAGAACAGCTTGAAGGATTCGCAGCTAGAATGAAGAAAGAGTTGGAACGCGAAAGAGAAGAAAGGAACTTTTTTCAACTTGAAAGAGATAAAGTGTTAACGTTTTGGGAAATCACGAGACATGAGTTGGAAGAAAATAGAGCATCATTGAGGCAAGTCAAAAATTCTTAAGTTATAAAATAGGTACCTAGTTATAATAATAATGATAAAAATAAGCGTAGGTTGGTTGTACATACGGTGTCTAGAAAGTGACTGTGTTAAATTTAAAATTATATAAAATCATTATACACTAAAAACGATTCTGAGACAAGACAACCTATAATATCACTAAGTATATTTGCCATTTAATAATATGATTGTGATTAGAGTAATTTATTTTACTTATGGTATTAGTACGACAGTAGGTCAAATTAATTTTAAAATGTCATCATGTGTATAAAATATAACGGTGTACCTATAGGTACTCAAGTTCCTAAGATTAATAATTTTTAAATAACAACAAAATAAGAAAATCATTTTATGTGAATTTGCTAATTTACTAGTTAGGTTAGGTTATATAATATATATAAATATAATTATAATCATATTATTGATTTTTTATGAAAATACATTTTTAAAAAACTTATAATAATTAAAAATCGAAAATTGCATATACCTTTAAATAGCTCAACATGAGTCTAAATATTTTGAAAATTGTGTGGTGTATAAAAAATGCTAGTATAAACATCCAGTGAACATTTTATGTACCTACTGTACATTTTTTAGAGAAAAAAAAAACCAAAATTATATTTTTGTCAAAAACCGAAAAATTTACGATTTTCCCTAGGTTTTTTGTTTCCCCGCCGTTTTACCCTAGCTTTTGAAAGCTCCTGGAATTTCGACTTCTAGAATGCACCACCTAGATTCAGTTTCCTACCTTAAAAGATATTGAAGTTGAAAATTGAAGCATTATTATTTAACTACTCATCGTGTGAACAGGCACAAAAAAACATACACACACACATTATTGTGAAATCAATAAATTCATCTATCCTTTGGAATCTAAAATTATATCAAAACATAATTTATTTATTCAATTTTGTTTATAACAGGAACAAAGATAGAGAAATTGAAGACATAGAGGAAAAGCACCAGGAAGAAATCAAAGTTTACAAACAAAAGTTGAAACTTTTGATGTACGAACAGCATGTGCATCTATCCGAAGTGCAAGTGAGTTGTTTTTGTTTTGTGTTATTTCACGTTTATATAGGTACTAAAAAGTTACAGATAATAGGCTGAAAATATGGTTTCGTTGAAAATTGCCAACGACGAACATATAAACGAAGAAGAAGAATTAGTTAAAGAAAACGACGCTCTCAAACAAGAAATTGTCGAAATAAATTTACGACACATAGAGGAAATCAACAATATCCGATTGGTAAATATAATAATAATACTTTAACCTTTTATTTAAATTATGTCTATGACATTAAACAAATTGAGTTTTGTTTCCGTTGTATAATATATAATATAGGAACATGCAACAGTTATGAGAGAATTGAAAGATCGATTTATTTCTGACTGTCAAGTGATCGAAGGCAAGTATCAAAAACGTATGGAAAGCTTGAGGAATCGTATGGACTTAAAGAATAAAGTGGAAGTGGCTGAGACTGAAGCGAGGAAGAACAAGCGCATAGCAGAAATCATCGAAGACCACAACAACGCTTTCAACAACTTGAAAGAACATTACAATGACATAACTGTCAACAATTTGACATTAATCGCCAGTTTGAAGGTTTGATAGATTCATGCACTTATACTTTAATATATCTTATTATATACCTAAGTAATATTCTATTAAATAGACTACAAATATTGATGACTCTGGACTTGCAGGAAAAGTTATTGGAGTTAAAAGAAGACCAGCAGAGAGCGGAAATGGATCTGAAAGAAGTGACGAAAGAAAACGAATCGTTAAAAGGACCGTTAAAAGAAGCACAAATTACCGTTGAGGAATTGACGCAAAAAATGTGTAATTACTTAAAGGACAAACAACGGTTAATGGTAAGTTTGTACTGTTTATAGTGGTCTTAATATTATCGAAATATACTGTGCATATAAGTATATACATATTTTCCAAATATTATATAAAAATACATAAAAATATATTGCCTATTTGATTCAACTGAGCATATATGCAGTAATTGTAAGATATTATATCACTAAAATATTATGCCTTATTTAGATTGTTGATTTTTGTATTAAATAAGTCATAGAGGAAATTTAGTTTAACTATTATTTTTTGTTTTTATATACACAAAGCCACCAGACTGCAGTTGTATCATTAACAACTATTTTATCCTTTGCCAAGTAAAAACGTCAAAAAATCGGATTATGTTAATGTAACGATCCTGCTATAAGATGTTCAAAATTAAAAATAAATAAATGCAGTTAAACATAAAAATGCGAATACAAAGCATGTTTAATGAATAAATAGGAAGTTACATTATTATTTTTCATTGTTGTATAACATATTTTTAATAAGCTCCACAAACGCTACATCAATTAATTTTTTTTTTATTTTACAAAAATTATATTACTTTGAGTTATTCAACTATTACTAGATAACAATATATTATAATAGTTATTTGAATGCAAAATTAGGTATAACAATTTATTATTTCGCCTAATTGTCTAGAGTTCGAGAGTCAAGACTAATAATTGTTCTACATTTTAAAAAATCGAATAAATAAACTATTTTTATGTGTAAGTATATAATATTTACACTTTGATTTTATTCCTTGCTACTTACTACCTACATCAGCTACATCATTACTCATATTGATATTATTATATTTTAGGTGTTGAGATTTAACCATACAGTGTATGAAAACATATGATTTTAATTCAATTATTGATAAAAGCATAAAACCACACATTAATATTCATTAATAATAATTGCTCTTCTGTGTAATAAAAATATACAGTAAATGCTATTATAGAAATTAAATTTATAACTTACTAAACGTTTTTTTTTTCGATTTAATCGATTTAGGATTTAATCTTACAAAAGAACTATAATATAATACTATTTACTTTATCTTTATTGTATAGTCATTAATTATTACCTATTGGCTATATAACCTATAATTAGTAATGCATTTTTTATAGTAGTAGGTGCTATACCATTTTTTTTTATTATAAACTATATAAGTGTATGGAGGTACGAATGTACAATAAGTTAAATTGGGCGGCAAAAATAAAATATATATGTTAGCAGCCAGTACTAATATACCTAGTACATATAAAACTATTATATCTAAATAATACATTTTTGAATGTATAGGTTCTAACTAAACGGTTGAAACATTCAATCGATAAGTACAAGGACCTTCAGGTGGATTACGACGAGCTGAAAATGATTTCTGAGAAAGTGAGCAATTTTTGAGACACCAATAATCAGCTATTTCCGACTTAAGCTAAGTTCATTTAAATGAACATTTATGAAATATTTGACGACTTCTAGATGCAAACCGATTTAGATAACGCAAAGGATGAGTATTCGGACAAATTAATGCATCTGCAGATGGAGCACGGAAAAAAGTTGTTAGCAGTCGAACGTCGGCTGAAGCGATCGAGAGAAACTGTCGAGGAAAAAGAGGCTCAGATAGCCCGTCTAACCGGAGCCACGTCGGCGGACACTTCGATTGCGATGGCCATGAATGCAAAAACTGAGGTAACCCCCTCCCCCCTGTGCATTATATAAAATAACGCTTTACGCTGGGCGAGGGGTAATACGAGATCAACCTAAGTACTTTACACTTGCAGCACGAAATGTCTAAGTGTATATGGATGAAGTGTAAAATAAAAAAATTTCATGGCAGATATTTATAATAATCAATAACAAATACCTGTATTATTGTTAAATAATAGTAGGTATACGTTTGAAAAATAATGATTTATTATATCAGGTAGATTTTATTCTAATGACAAGAAAAGTACAAACATTAATTAAACATCTAGTGCAAATTGTTTTTGTTGGATGCATTTAAAATTTTTAAGAATTGTGTTTTTGGAGGGAGAAAAAATCAAGTGCTTGTAGTTGTTGTGGTTTTGTTTTCTGCCACATAATTTTGATGGTCTCGACCGTGACTTGCGATATTCAAAATGTACATTTTAATTTTATACCTAACAGTTAATATGACAATATAGCTGTTGGCTAGCCATATTATGTTTAGGCTACTTTAACGAAATATTAAAAAGGCTGAATTAATTAAATAATATAATATTTATTTATTATTATTTTTATTAAATAATGCTGCATGACTTTTCAGGCTTTGCTGGATAAGAAAAACCAACTGATCGAACAGATATGGAACGACCTGGCAGCTATAACTCAGAAGTACAACGAGCTGTGTAAGCATTTCAAAGACACTCTCCGACATCACGGTATACGGGGCTACGACGACAGCGTTTTTGAATTGGTACCCGCTGACGACAAACATGAATATTTTGAAAATCTCTGACGATCAACGACTATTACAACTGCAATATTATAATAATATTTACATAATTACTAATGTTCAATTATAATTTGGTATTGTTTCAAAACGAAGCAATGTCGGCATGTTTGGTCGTTTGGTTTTTACGATTTTTTCACAAATTAATATTACCTATGCCTATATTATAATAGCTTATAGTACATAAATAGTAGTTAAATTTATTCGTCAACGGTTGACCTTCTTAGTAGGCAAGCCCATGGTCAGAGGTAAGTACGAGGAGACTCAAGCTCGGATTATGGGAGGGAGCCTGGCCCCCTTGCCTCGATAGTTGGAATTTATTAAGGGTTTTCACAGTTTTCCATTACATATTTGGTTATGAGCTATAACATTACACAAATCACATAAAACAAAATTCATGATTATTACTGACGACATTTGTGATTTGTTACAATTTAATATTGTTATAAAATTATAAATATTAACTACATAATACATACCTGATAGCTAGCTATCTTTAAAATATATTAAAGGCTACAGACTTGTACAATAATGCTTGATAATATACAGAAATAGGTATAATCAATTGAGTCAAATAAAAAAAAAAATGTATTTAACTATACCAAAATCAAACTCTTCGGCCGAAAGAGTTTTTTCAAAACTCAATAAAATCAAGAACAAAATTACAGTCTAATACTAAACCAAGAAAATTGTACTGCGTTTATGGTATTGGCATCTGAAAACAACATTCTTCAAACAATTAGGTATTAAACAATTTTATCAAACAAATGGGAAGGAAAAATTTTCTAAATTATAATATTTATAAATAATGTGATACATTTTAATTATTTATTGGTGTGTATTATAAATATATTTATTATTATAGGTATATAAAATACATAGGTAGGTACATTATTATTTTTTTTTTTGTATAGGGGCCTCATTTAAAACTTTGTCCCCTTGGCCTCAACATTTCTTAATCCGAGCTTGAAGAGACCCATCATCGTAATTCGCAATGACACTATGACAGTCCGTTGTTTCTTGACAAAAGTAGGTAAGTACCTGTCCAACTCCTACTTACTATTTTCTATGAATTCCAAATTTAATTTAATTTGTAAGTTGAAAAAGAAATAAAATTAATAATATAATAATGTATAAAGCGCTTGTCTATTTTCAAATCAACTAGCATACTATCCATGCGTCCGAGGTAAATGCCAACTTTGACGACTTCTATTATTTACTCTAACATTCAACTGTCTGTCTGTCTCTACAGATTCTTATGAAAGAATACCTATTCACTAATCAGTATACTAAAGCTTGTAAAAAGTAAGATTAAAACTACCATTAGTTGAATAATCTTAAGATACTTAGGCACCTACCTAACTTGAATAAGGACATTCTGGACTACAAACTGTACTCTGTGGTACAGTACCGACAATCAGCAGTCAGGAATACAAGTACCTACATATTTAGTGGATGTTTTAATCTTTTCAAAGTTTGTATAGAATATAAATTAGCTTTAACTGTCATTTATATAATGAACAACAAGAACAAATATTGTTGGGTTAAAATAATATAATACTTAGCCATGTAGGTAGGTAGGTAAGAAACGTTGCAGAGTACCTACTAGGTACCTACCTACAAAAAATGTTCCAATATTTTATTTTAGTAATTTTTCAGAAGGCATTTTACACATATTTTATAAATATGATCTATCTATCATAGAACCATTGGTGCCATTCTATCTGTGTCATTTTGTGTAGGTACTTAAAGTCTTGAAATAAGAAGTGAATAACAATTAACTCACCGATAGTCCCAACACTGCTTATTATAATTATATTTGTCATAAGTAAATAGGTAGTTAAAGAGTTGTTTCCTCAGAAAGCTAATTGTTGATATGAACATTATCTATAGCAGGACTGCAGGAGTATAATAATATAAATGTATTATAATAGTATATTATAAGATTACTGAGATTTTAAAGGGGTTTTATGTAGGCAATATTATAGTCACTTGGAAAAATTTAATTATTAAAATATATTATGTTTTTGAACTTTTTTCTTTCAAAAGTAGTGGTGATCTCAAAGTTCATATAAAATAAAACGTTGTCATTACATAAAACTCAATACATGAACTATAAATGTCTGCAGTATAGAATTTTTTTCACTACATATTTACACGGATTTGAATATTTTAAGTGCATTTAAATATTTTATGAGTATTTTAAATGGAATTATTAACTGTTTATACAAATGTGTTATTAATTAAATCCCCATATCCCATGCTAACACATGATATACGTTTGCGAGAAAGCCATCTTACTGTCAAGAATGCTATTGAACATGTCTTTTTAGTAGAATTCTTTACTATGGTAAACACAACTAAATGCCCTGTAAGAAATCTGTCGATGTATGTAACTCCCTAGTTGTGTGCAAATGTTTAAATATTAAAATAATATAATTTTATATCAATATATTTAATAACATTGTAATTGATTAATTTTTTCATACACCTTAATTATTATACTTTACACTTTTACAGTGTACATTAAATAACTTAACAAAACATGAACATTATGTACATATTTTGATGTCTTTGCAGTGACCATTAAAAAATAAAAAATGGGTTTTTTACTTAAATTTAACATTAACAAAATATTTCTTAAATAATTAATTTAACATCTTTAAAATAATATCAAACTTAATTGTTGAATATACATTCAAAAAAGGTTTAAAGTAATTGAAAATTAAAATATATACCAATACTTATACAAAAATATACTTTAAACATAACATAATCTGTTAAATAAATCATAAAGCTGATTACATATAGTTTTTTGTTGGCTTTTAGCTTGTAAATACTATTCTATTTTAAAAATACTTATGTTCAAACATTTATATACTTTTTATACAACAATGTATACCTCATACCTAAGGAATAGGTTGCTGTATGCAATAACAAATAACAATGATACAAAAATGAAAATGTTAAAAATAAAAACATTTGTAAATTAAAAAAAAAAAAAACAGTAAAGATTGTATGCGATTGTTTGATTGAATATAACATTACCAGTTATACAATTCCATTCCATAGGTCATCGAGCACAGATTTTTTTTTTGGTAATTGGTGTTCACTGTGTTGGTTTATTGAAGGCTGCAGCTGAGGCAAAGGTGAATTTGTCAATGGCTGTTGTAACCACGTCGGTGAACTGTTAGGTGAATTTGTCAATGGCTGTTGTAACCACGTCGGTGAACTGTTGGGTGAATCTATTTGAGTGTCAGCAAAGTACCTGGGATCAACTGGTATATTCTTATCTGTAGTAGATACTGGTATATTCTCATCTGTAATAGATACTGGTATTGAAGTGGACATTGGGAAATTCTTAGGATCTATCACTACATTACCAGAAGTATTATCACAGTTCAATTTGTCTATTTCTTCCAACCCAGAGGAATTATTACTATTAATACATCGTAGAGTGGCATTATCGTCTTCGGACGAGGAGGAACACAATTTTTTCTTGTTCTCACCATGAGTTGTGGAACGTCTAATTTTTTTGATCGGCCCAGGTCGACCACGACAGGTGCCACGTCCTCGTCGTTGTCGAACTATCACTTTTTCCTGTTCAACGGCCACCGGCTGCGACATGTCTGGCTCCAGCTTCAATTCATCCAACTTATGTTGCAAGTCAACTATCTGCCGCTTTTTTGCATTCAATACCTCCACGAACTGCGCCATCAGCCGCTGGTCCTCTAGCCGCCGGCCCTCGGACATCAATTGTAATTCATTCAGCAGCCGACGATTGTCTTCCAACAGGCATCCCTCGCGGTCAGCAGTCGCTAGGTCCGACTGCTGTTTTTGCTTCCTTTCAGCAGACAGCATGCCAATCAATGGTGTGATGAACGAATTGCATGTCAGTGACATTGTCGCAGTTTCTCCTGCCATCTGAACCATGCCAAGCGTTGCCAAGCCGAATGGACGAAGTTTGATCTTCCATGCCAACGTTAGCAGTCGGTCGTCGTTGTGGTCTTCACGTCGCAAATGATATTCGTATTCAGCTGTAGTCGGCTTGTCGCCACTGCCAAGTAGCGCCGCTCGCGCATCCCTTAACCAGATACGGACGGCTGCCGAATCGTCGTCGTCATGGCGGACCCCCGAATGTAGGGTCTGGTCAGCCGCTTTGTTGCCAATCACAAATCCCCTGTAGACTACACAGTCACTCAAATTGTCGTCTACAATCGAAGTTACCTGCAATGCCATCCGTGTCTGATCGTCAGCCGCCTCATCATGAAATGCCACTTTCAAGTGTACTGTGACGGTGGGTGAATCCGTTAACGACCACTGACACTTTAACGTCGAGAATTCGTAATTGGGTTCATCGACTTCCATCGCCACAAGATAGTTTTAAATCTCTCCAAAGTCCAAGGTGCGTACGTTTTCAATTCTGTAACATGATCAAAGATTAATATATAAACCAATATAGAATTATGATCGAAGTTTTAGACTCTTCTAATTACTTAAACCATGTAATGTTCATTGTACGCCGACCGGCAACTTGCTGACATTAGTGACATCGAATAAAAAATTGCCGTAACTAAACAAGTCTTGAATGCATTGATAACGTTGTTATCGCCGTTATCGGTATCACAACGTTTTCGGGCCGATGCGTTTCGGTTGCGTCATCGGAACAAGAGATCGCCACTCGACCGCCACCACAACCGGTGTTGCCATAGAACTACACTGTGGTGTTGCTATAATCTATGGCGCATCGTCATCCATAATTATTAATTATTATAATTAATTATCAAAGCAACAAGAACATAAGGTACCAACACTTAACAATATTAATGTTATTGCTGTGATATTATACTCCTCCGGTTGCCTCAAAGAAACAACAAAACAGTGTTTATGTTTTTAAAAACAATTTCCCGATAGTCCCGTCTATGATGGGAAAATCTTGTTTTTGTTTTGTTTACTATTTTACTATGTGTGACGGCTGACGGCATTAGCCTATGTGGCTGCAATTACTAATTAGTCACTGTCACTTGCACTAATATAGTTGCATAGGTGCATCTGCGCACCGCGCATACCGCATGATATAAAATATTATCAATTAGATATTAATAATTTAATAATTATGAGACCGTGCATACTGCATAGCAGCAAGTACCCAAAATTATTAGGTTTAGTCTGTACCACCGTATTCTATAGAATAGGTGTTATTATTTAATTACAAGGACTTATGCAAAGCGGCATTATTGTTGTAAATTAAGTACTAATACATTTTTAATATATATTTTAAATCACGAAAATTGTTCATGATCAAATCGAAAATGAGTAAGGACTATATTATTTATTATTAATATAAAATACATATTGTAATATTTTATTAATTACCTATGTAAGATGAAAAAAATAGTATTAATGTATTCGTGAATTCTTGTATTAATCATTACATTACATATGTAATGATTACATACTTCCCCCTTACATGTTATCATGTAATAGACAAAATACAACAACCCCTTTGTTTATGCTATAGTGGCAGACAATAGTGATCAGTGTGACAGTGTCGTTCCAAAATTGTTTGGTATCAGAAGCAAATTAATATTATAATATTTATCCTAAATCATCATAACACGATATGATAAAAAATAGTCACAAAGATTTGCAAAATGTTAGCAAATTTGATCAACTAATGTCATTACAACTCATGATATCGGAGTTTTCTCAACATTCGTTTGTCCAACCGGAATTAACCAGTGTTAAATTATTCTTATATTATTTATTGAATCATCTTCAATTACAATATTAGTAAGTACAAAGTACATACATTTATTGCAAATTCCTTTTCAATATATAAAGTATTTTGATAATTTGTTGAAGCAGTCTCAAAAAATGAGATTGTGTATTGGACAGCGAGTCATAGGCGCAATTTGGACAATTGCAGATTGAGGGAGGGGGAGCTAAATTTATAAAATCAATACATACCCGTAGGGGCTCCACCCCCACAGACCCTCACCACTTGTTATAATTTTTATGGTAATAATATATTATAAAAACATTTAGTTTGGTACTCAACAGAAAAAATAAAATACTTGATAAATTAAATACAATAATATACAACTCAATGCTAATTAATCATTTATTTGTAATTATAAAAATAAAATAACATAGTTACGCAGTGTTAAATCTTATAATTCCAAAGAATGATTAGACATAGCGAATTTATTTAATATGTCTTCATTTTTAATACAACCAGAAATGACCTTTTCTAAATATATCACAGAAGCATTTGAAAATCTATCTTGATGCATAGGTGTGCGTATTCTATTTTTATCTCCTTCGTAGCTGAAAAAGACCTTTCACATGTACTAGAAAATATTATAAAAAAGTATATAAATTTGGAAATACTTTTAAATCTACAACTAATTTTACTTCCTCTAAATCAAAATTTAATTTTGTACGTGTAAGACAGTGTTTTGCAACCAATATTTCTGAACGAAGAGCATCTACATCCGCATTTACAAGACCCTACAAATAAAACAATACAGCTGCGGTACTCCTCTCTCAATCAAACACATCATCACTAAATGCCTTTCATATGAAACGGATAGACGAGAAGCAGGTATTTTAAACATTCTGTCAGAAGCTCTCCACCCAGACAACATAAGACACATGATAATCTTTATTACCAAGTCCAACCTTGTCAATAGTATTTAATATGTAACTTATATAAGATGTAAATAATTTAGAGTTAAACTTTTATTGCCAATGGCCATAGTTGCCGAGGCTTAATTCAAATAAAAGAAAAAAGAAAACAATAGGTATATTTATCTAAACGTAACAAGTATAAATTCAATCTTAAGCAATAGAATATTTACTTATTACTTTATAATGTTCAATGAAATATTTACTCTGATTATAGTTCAGTTTATGAAAACTATCAAGAAATGAAGCCATTTTTAAACTTTCAGGTGAGAATCTTGTTTTTAAGTTAGTAACAATGTAATCTACAATTTGATAATAATCAGTGCAACTCTTACGATAAATATCTGTAATTTGATTTGATTCATTCGTATTTTGCGGCTCAGAATCCAAGGTTGTGAAAATATGAAAATCATTTAAGCTTTTTGGCTGTTTTTTTTTGACAACATTTGATTATTCTATAAATTGATATTAATTATTACTTATTACTTATTAGAAAACGTACACTGATTACCATAATTATTATATTTCCATAGTTAATTTTTTTTTTAATTTGATAATTTTTTTATTAGGTGGATTTAAAAATGAATATATTTAAAATCTTAGGGGGAAATTAATACAACTAGGGGGCAAAGCCTTCCCAGACTTCCCAGTTCTACATGATTTAATAATACTTAACATACAGGTAGGTAGTATGAAAGTTGAAAATTAAAAAAAATTGATTTCACTATACAGTTTTGTTTAAAATAAAATATTCAAATTGTAGCACTTAAAACATGTATAATTATTTTCTATAGCCCTTGACATCAAAAATGTTGCTGACTTGCCTGACCCCTGCTGTAAACTATAATATAGTCAACGGCTGACTCTGTTATAACACGTCAATACTTGCAAAAACAGATTTCTACGAAGCCATTTTGATATTTATATCAATAATCTTTTAACATTGGTACCGCAACAATAATATAAACGACTATAGTTATTATCATTTAAGATAACTGAAAACGTAGCATTATACTTATATAATATAATTACTAAGTACAGAAACATAAAATTGTATTATTACAATTTCATAAAGAAAGATTTTAGCATAGATAGACTATTGGGTAATCCTAATCACATAAGCATTATTACCTAACTAACACACAAGTCCACCAGGAGGAGGCTATTAGAAATTGTCCTAAAATGGAGTCCGGGGCCTAATGGTCTTGTTCTCCCTCTCCTTTGAATATCTGATCAAGACTTTACAGTGACTATACCAACCAATTATTTTCTAATAATTAAGTTTTTTGGTTAAATCTTAAACCGTCCACAACTCAATACTCACAGTTAATAGTCACAAAAATAAATTAACTTAATTTGAGTGAATTCAATATTTATGGTCGTCGTTCTATATTTTTATCAGATGTGTGATCCATAGCCCATAGGTACTATATAGATTATATAGGTATAAACTATAAAGTATAGGTATACCTTATATCATGTTGTTATTATTTTGTAGTTTTTCCCTCCGCATTAATAAAAGCGAGAACAGGTTCGTATGTGTAATATATAATAATGCGTGTCTTGTATATTATAATTACAGTGTTGTCAAAAAGAATGATTACTTTTGGAAACTAAACAAATGAATAATCGAAACAAGGATTATAATAAAAAAAAAAAAAAAACGGAAACGTCAAGCCGTGGTGGGTAAAATAAAAAAAACATAATAATGTAATATTATAATATACCATAGGTCAATCATGATTTAGAATTTAGATACGTTAATATTTTCAAAAAAATCATAAATTAACAATTTACGAGAAAAAGGTGATTCGCATTTGAATAAAATAAGTTGATGTCGACACAGGACACTTCAAATGGTATACAAAATCTAAGTTATTGAAAATAATTTAAGTGGCACAGTTGTATTAACTTGTAAAATTTGGTTATTAATATTGTTATTATTTTATCTATTTCAGACATGTATAGCCATATACAAATAAAGTTTAAATGGGAATGGAATTATAAATTTATTATTATCATGTCTTCAATTACATAAAACGCCGTGTATTAACATTTGGCCAAGGTAGGTGCAAGCTAGTAAGCTGTAAGTAGACTGGCAAAACGCTGCTTTTTCAGGCCAAATTGTATGGTTATGAACCCTCGAAAAGGAAATTCAAACACAGTCTAATACAGTTGTACAAACGGATACAAAAATTCTTACAGAATCCAATGTGGTGTTGCCAGTCGTTTATGTGGGTTAGCAGTGGTAAAAACCATGAACACAGTCAAGCCGTTCACTTTGGTACGGCACTAAAAAAAAGTTAAGCTTGTGCTGCGGCTGTGCGAAGTGCTGAAAAATTGAAGTTGTGGCCGCTGCTTTATACTGCAGTTCATACACTGTATAGACTATAGGTACCATCTACAACTCTTAAAATATAGAAACTATTGTTGTAGATAGGATTGTTGTAAGTTTATATAAAAATTAATTAGTCTAATTAATAATTAGATGCTGTAAATTGTATAATGATTAACAAAAACATATATGCCTAATTCAATTGGTTTCTATTTTATGTGATATTAATAAATGCCAAAACGCTATTGTGAAATCCAATAAATTAATAATGAAATGAAAAATGAGGGTGAGAAATGAGTATGCTTGGAGAATCACCCTGTATAGTGAATAAAAAAAAAATGTTGAAATATTTTTTAATACAAAACCTATGAGTATTTTATTTGCAATAGCTGTATTGGAATGTTTTTATTTTATTTCACTAAACGGCAGACCATTAAATTGTGATCATGAAAAATGATTATATTTTTAGTTGAATTGTCGGTAATTTTAGATTTAGAGTGATGAACTGATGAATGTATTAAGTTTATTATGATATGTTTTTTTTTGTGAACAAAATGCCTATCAATCTAAATACTATTCGAACACAGTTTTTT